TTCCAGTTGCTCTCCGTAGCAGTTCCTTCTCCATTGAGTAGATCATGAAAGGCCTGAAACTATTGCTGAGGACTATCTTGAATTTGTTGAGTTTGCTAGTATCCTGAAGAAAGGCCGTATTGAACTTTTGTGACATTGTCCGCCCCATTGTCCAGTGCTTCTTGAGATTCAATTTCATCTTGGCGACCAGCAAGTGATGATCTGATGCTACATCAGCTTCTCTCTTGGTTCCCACATCCTCCATCTTCCTCCTGAACTTTTTGTTGATGCAGATATGGTCGATTTGGTTTTGTGTAGTGTGATCCGGTGAAGTCCATGTGGTCTTGTGAATGCGTATATGTGGGAATATGATGCCGCCCATGACCAGTTTATTGAAGGCACATAGATTTGCAAGTCTCACCATTTTCGTTTCATTCTCCTGGTCCATGTCGTCACATGATGTCTTCATATCCAGTATTGTCCGTTGTGAGATCCGTTTTGAATGTTTTATGTGTGTGTGAAAATCCCTCCATGTATATACTTGCACTTTGTTCCTGTTGATCCCCTTAGTTGTACATTGTAAACTTTTTGAATACATTTGAACTGTTTATATTTGTATTTTATTATAGTTTTTATTTTCATTACCCCTTCACTATGTCTCCATGTTTCTTCCCGAACTGCACTTATGTTGTTTTACCTTATACTTAGTTTGGGCGGCAGCCATATTGGTTTGTTCCTCCTTTTGATTGCTTTACCTGTGTTGACTGGAACTGTGCATTTTTGGTTGTGAATTGAGGCACTCTTCTGGAATTGGAAACACTCTGTCTTATAAAGCTACCAAATATTATCTTTTGAACGAATCAGTGCGTGGTCTATCCAGACAGGATAGAATAACATTTATTTGTTGTGGTTGGTCATTTTCTTCCATCCTTTATCAACTTCCTTATTTAGTGTTATTTAAATTTGATTAATTGAACAATTATTTGTTGGATAGTTGAGTGGTCATATTTGTTTAGGTAATAATGTACATTTAAATTTATGATGAATTATAGAACTGTAGTCGAATTGGGATTACCAATTGTAGCGTGGCGTCGAGTTGAGATTAACTATGAACACCGCTACCAAGATATACGTGCCAAATAGATCAGAAGGCGTAAGAAGCTCGTTCCAAATGACTCCATAAAATCCCCGAGAAGCCGAATACTAGAAAGCAATTAATGGACCAAGTCGATGTTTATTTGCTGGCGATCTCGTGGCATCGAAAGGATACCGAGATCGTGCCAGGATACAATCTTGGTTACAGAACGTAACCGAATTCGCGCGAAGTTACAATCAAAGAGTGTGTGTGTAAAAGAATGGAAGCAGAAAATAGCTGTCATTAGCACAGTCAAACAAAAGCACGTTAAAACAAACACTGGTACAGTTGGTTATAATAATAATTGTTTTTATTAAACCAGTCGTGTTCTCGTGATAAACGTGAGTCACTACAGGAGCCCCCCGCTAGAAAGGGTTTACACTTTCGATAAATAGCGGTTTGAATCGTGGGACTGATCGGCTGACGAGCGATTGTAGGACGGAAGTATTGGCGAACAGGAAAGCGATCGATGATCGTCGAGTTGCCAACGAAGGTCGTTATCGGAGAACGGTACCAGGAGCGATGTGTTGTATTTATTGCTTGAGTTGGCATGCTACACCAGAGTGGTTTGTATCCAGAATCTGAAGAGGGCGTTCGTACGGGTCCGGACCATAAACGCTGCAGACGAAGGACGAAACCACGTTGAGCCAAAAGACCAGAAGCGACCGTAACGACCAAGTTCGAGACCAAGCGTATGCCAAGCATTCGAAACCAATATATCGACTGAGTACGTTGACAAGAGCGTGGGTGATCAGGCCAGCTTTCGCCAAAGTTGACTGAAGTCGACGGAACCAAACGGAGATGGTCGAAGGCGTGGGCTCAGGAAACAAAAAGAAAATCAAAAAAGAAGAGTGTAGCGTGCGTGTAGTATAGGAATAATCCTACACCGTATCGGTTGTTGACTGTGCGACTATTCGCGGAAGCGTACGGGTAACCGTACTCGGCGACCGGAACGTGAGACGGCAGTCTCGTTCGCGTCGCGTGAGCCTGCAATCTCATCCGAGGTCAGAGGCGGCGTGGTCTGCTGATCTGGACGTGAGACTATCGTCTCGTCCGTAGACGGTGCAGATGACGCGTGCTGTTGACCGGGACGTGAGAATGAGGTCTCAGATGCATCTAGCGTGGGACCTGAAGATTTAAGGATCCCGCTAGGTTTAATAGGTCTAGCATTAAATCTCAGGTTACCAGATAGGGCACTGTCATCGACGTGTGCTGGTTTGAGACGATCAACGCTGACGATCTCGACGCGTCCATGTCGATCAACCTTGAAGGTCTTTTCGTGACGAGCGATCACGTGAAAAGGGCCTTCGTAAGGTTGTTGCCAAGGTTTGCGTACCGAATCTACTTGTACAAAAACATGTGAACTGGTAGATAACTCTCGAGGGAGAGCGACCTGTCGATGTTGTATTCGAGTTGACACCGGAGACAGCGTTCGCATAAATGCAGACAGTCGATGGACGTAGTCTGATTTACCGAAATTAGGTCTGCTCCGTGGTGTGAAGAATTCTCCGGGCAGACGCAATGTCGTGCCGTATACAAGTTCAGTGGCGGAACATTGGATATCTGCCTTTAAACTCGTTCTCGCCCCTAAAAGAACGAGCGGTATGGTTTCGTGCCAGTTGCCGTTTTCGTGTGCTCGTAGAACACTTTTAAGTTGGCAGTGAAACCGTTCAACTTAACCATTTGGTGCTGGGTGGTAGACGGATATGCTTATGCGTATGCATTCCGTACCAAGCAGCCGGGTCAGCGAGGAGAATCGTTAATAGGGTAACATTTCTCGAATAAAGCGTGGAATTCATCATCACGCGAATAAAAAGTGACAAGGATTCGGTACACATACGTGTGAGTCTATTATATTAATACTATTCTTATCGTTATCCGTCATGTCGCGTATATTATATATTAAAAATTAATATGAAAATATACGACAGACGTGGATAGATAAATCATAGACTCACCGAATTGGCTTCTTTGGAAGATTTGATCAGAAGTTGAGGCGTGTTCCAAAATACGGGTCACCAAATGTTGTCGAATTGTGATTACCAATTGTAGCGTGGCGTCGAGTTGAGATTAACTATGAACACCGCTACCAAGATATACGTGCCAAATAGATCAGAAGGCGTAAGAAGCTCGTTCCAAATGACTCCATAAAATCCCCGAGAAGCCGAATACTAGAAAGCAATTAATGGACCAAGTCGATGTTTATTTGCTGGCGATCTCGTGGCATCGAAAGGATACCGAGATCGTGCCAGGATACAATCTTGGTTACAGAACGTAACCGAATTCGCGCGAAGTTACAATCAAAGAGTGTGTGTGTAAAAGAATGGAAGCAGAAAATAGCTGTCATTAGCACAGTCAAACAAAAGCACGTTAAAACAAACACTGGTACAGTTGGTTATAATAATAATTGTTTTTATTAAACCAGTCGTGTTCTCGTGATAAACGTGAGTCACTACAGAACCGCCATTTTACCCAATTACTTTGTTTTGATTTCAAACAAGCAAGGGCGCATATCTAACCCACCTAATCAGCTGTCCAGCTGTCCAAACCTTGGTTTGGGTCTTACATCCGTTCCAACCTTGGCATTGAAATCTCCCATCACAATGGTCAGGTCCTTTGTTGGGCACTTCTCGATGATTGACTGCAGCCTATTGTAGAATTGATCTTTAGCGTCTTGATTGTAGTCGTTGGTAGGCGCATAGCATTGCATGATGTTCATTGAAAAGCCTTCTTTCTTTGTTTCGAAGGAGGCTTTGATGATCCTGGGTTCATGAGATTCCCACCCTATAAGTGTATTTTGTGCTCGTTTGGACAGCATCAATGCAACTGCTTGTGTATGTGGGGCATTTTCTTCTTCATGGACGGAGTATAACAGAAGCTCCCCTGAAGCTAGTCGTTGTTGTCCAACTTGCGTCCAATGGGTTTCTCTGGTCCTAAGAACCTCTAGGTTGTATCTCCTCATTTCTCCAGCAATTTGGGAGGCTCTCCCGGTCTCCCAGATTGTACGAGCATTCCATGTATCTAAATAAATGGTTTCTCCGGTTTTCAGAAGGGGCATCGGACTCGTGACTTCCGAAAGAGCTCGGCTTTCATCCTGAGACGTCATAACTCTTCTAGATGAGGACTTTATGACTCCCAGGGCAGAGTTCAAGAGGTTTGAAAATCTTTTTCTGGTTAGCGTGTTTTTAGCGAGTTAGTTTTCTACGGGATGGGGTCGCTAACCCCATGCCCAACTCTCCTTCTTTATCCGGGCTTGGGACTGGCAGTAGCCTACAGAGGGACTCCAGGCGGAGTCAGCGGCTATTTTTACACGAATAAAAAGAAATGATCTCAAATGTCAATTCATTTGAGTAAGTATTAGCAAATAATTTGTATTTTAAATCAAAAATATAGAAAGAATAAATATAAAACTTGTATAGAAGGGAAAAAAAGAGAAAGAGAGAGTTATGTATGGAATGGAAGGAAACTTCGCTATACACTCTAGCAACCAAAGATAGCTTCAGAAGGAGAAATAAGTATATGTTAACGCTTGGAAATTATAGCATTTTCAGTTAATCAATGTGAAGAGTAACGTTGTTTTAGGAAAAAGTTATGTGTCTTTTATAAGTTGCTTAGACTACTCATGCTTGTGTGGAATTCTAAAATCAAACTACTAAAACGTTTAACCCACCCTTATAATAAAATCAACTACACTTATATTCTAGACTGCAGTGGATTAGTTCAAGTTTGATTCTATTATATACTACACTGGATAACATACAATAGCGTATTATACCTTAAGGGTAATATAAATCATCTTTCTAATCGAATTAAACTAAATATCTGCAGACTAATTCATCCATTTCATCAATTATCTATCATTAAAAGGGGTTCATAAATCAATCGAGTATATTTAATGCTCAAGTAAAATTAAGAGATTACAGGTTATCCAACACGTTAACTCTATCAATCAACGTTATACTGATCATAATATCATACATTTTTACAAGAAGATGAATTAAATTTAGATTGGACTATTTGCATTAAAAATCCTGTTGAAGATAATTACAAATAACATCAGTTTATAAAATGTAAATATATAAATATAATGAGAAAAGGAAACATTGAAGAGGACAAGGTCAACAATTCATATTGGAAAACAGAAATAACAAACAAACAAACAAACAAAAAGGACTGATCTTATAGAAGTCCATATCGTTCAAGATGATCATGAATAAGAAACCTGTGACAACCTTGTAAGATATGATGCATTGTGTTAGTGTTTACAGCACATGTATAATAAAATAAGCATATTCGTTTATCACAAAATGATGTTGTACCACGTTTTGTCAGCTCCTAATAAAAAAACGAAAATATGGATGTTCTTATTTATTGTTTATGAATTCACTAAATAACTTCAAGTCGAAAATAAAGAATACTTATAATCATACGAAACATCTTGGCATAATGTGTAGTGACCTACTTTTGTCAAGAGAACGCGATTGGTATAATGGAAACTATTATTATTATTATTATTATTATTATTATTATTATTATTATTATTATTATTATTATTATTATTATTATTATAACCAATTATACCAGTGATTGCTTTACTGTACTTGTTTGTTGAAGTGTACTAAAAACATACATTCTTCCGTGGACTGTGACCTTGCACACTCTCGCGTACGCTCAGTAGTTCCACTTGTACTCTTTGGCACGATCTCAGTAATCTTTCGATACCACGAGATTGCCAACAAATACACCTTACTACAACCTTTAATTGCCTTCTGATATTGGGCCTACCGAGAGATCTAATGCAGTAACTGGCACGTAGTTTCAGTGTGGTGGTGATCATGGTCAACCGCTACAACCTTACAACAGGTGAGCCCAACGTGTAGAACGAGTAGAAGTGTTTGAAATATCTAATGAAAGATACCTCTTACTATTGTAGTGAACGAGAATACAAGTGGGGACAATCGAATATATTTGAACACAAAATCACAGAACATTTTAGTAAAATCTGAGAACCATGCAGTAAATACTTCATTTGCAACATGTCAGTGAATCGTCTCAGACTTCATTGTTCTTTCATTTCTACACCAATCATTCTTTGTTTTCGTTCTCATCTCTTCGATCTTTTTAACCTTCTGCCGTTAGTCACTTCACTTTTGATTGGTGATACATACTACTTATATCTTTTGATATCAATAGTATACACCACGGTACCACTTTTGTTTGAAACAATATATTCTGAGATCAATTTTCAGTTTACTGTTTCATTAGTACATTTGATTTTTTTTTAAATGAGTGGAAGAAAAGTTTCAGGTAACATTTCCAGCTGTTAAATATGATCAAACGCGTTTCGTAATGTAGATTTTGTTTTCAAGCTGTATTCATTCTTTGATGATTTTTAAAAAATCATTTTGATTGTTTCCATGAATAATGTCAAACTAGTTTGCTAGAGAAAACAGTAGAATAATCTACATTTCAATCTCTATGATTATTTCATGCATAATTTTTACATAAAGTCCATCCTTTCTGAGTGAAGTTGTCGCTTAAAAAAATAACTTTGCCTGTAGCTCTTCGAGAGTTACTGCCGGTCTCAAGTCCGGGTAAAGGAGGAGGGTCAGGCATCGGGTCGATAAATTCATCCCATAGAAAAAAAACCAACCAGATTAAACAAATTTAATTCATTCAGAAATCTTGATAAACATTCATATAAATCACTGGAATTTCAAGTTTAAAATTCAAAAAACATGATCAATACTGTGGTTTGACCAAAGAAACCTATCAAATTCATTTATGTGGATGATCTCGATGAATACTTTGGATAGATTCTCTGTCACTGAAGGAAGAATATTATAATATACTAACATTTCATTTTTCCAATCAAATGAGATTACCATCGCTTCAGTGTCGCAGACTTAAAAAGACAAACAAACAAGGAATTAGACAATATTGTGAAAAATGAAGTATGGAATACTTTAACAAATAATTATCATCCATCAAAACAGTATAAAGTTATAGAATTATCATAAAGCAATGTATATCTAACACGTACCTCAAATAAATGCCTAATATAACATGCAGTTCTAACTGTTTCAGGATGTTTAATAATAAATTTAGGTTGTTGTGGGAATATTTTAGAAATTTCATCTTCAACTCCAATATCAGTACTATTACCTTTTTTACGATAACTGGTAATGTTGTCAAGGTGATATTTAAGTGGTTTGGTAGTTGGTAGAAGACATGTTAAAAATTCCGTTCTTTGTTGAGCTATAATTAGAGTGAAAACATCAGAAGTATATACATAAGTAATCGTTTCTTTTAGTAAATAAGTTCACGTTATTGAAATGGAACTGATAATTTGAACAATGTGAGTGCAGGCAAATATAAAAATTAATAAAGTAGTAGGAGAATAGCTGTATTTTTTAGTAAGCGGCGAGACTACAATTTATGAACGAACTAATCAGATATAAGATAACGGGTCTTGGATTTTGACGCTAAGTTCATTTGTAGTGACTCACAGTTATCACGAGAACACGACTGGTTTAATAAAAACAATTATTATTATAACCAACTGTACCAGTGCTTGTTTTAATGTGCTTTTGTTTGACTGTGCTAATGACAGCTATTTTGTGCTTCCATTCTGATTCTTACACTTTGATTGTAACTTCGCGCGAATTCGGTCACGTTCTGTAATCAAGTTTGTATCCTGGCACGATCTCGGTATCCTTTCGATACCACGAGATCGCCAGCGAATATATCTCAATTTGGTCCATTAACTGTCTTCTGATATTTGGCTTCTCGGGGATTTTATGGATCTATTTGGTTACGTTCAACCTTCGCCTTCTGATTTATTTGGCACGTGTTTCTTTGTAGCGGTGTTCATAGTCAATTTCGACTCGACGCCACGCTACACATTCATGCATTTGGCTACATAGAGTTTTGGCGTTTTAGCTGATGTGAATTCGTGATGAAAACCCTTAATGCAATTCCTAACCCTAACCATCAACCATAAATCATAATTCGAATTCCTCACACAGGTTTATAACCCTTATCTAGCCCAAATTAGTAGGTGGACATCCTCAAGGTCACTTAAGCGTTGCTCAAAGATCGTCCATAAATTATAGTCTCACCTCCACTGCAATATTCCATTTAAGTTACATACATATTAAATCTACTAAATAACAAAAATATTGTCAAAATCAGAAAATATAAGAAAAATGTAGTAACTTATTTATGTAACTAAGTAAATAAAATAATGTTTTCGTAATTTAACCTATTTCTTATCATTAGTGACGTCTCCTTTTGCTCAGGTACCCAAAAATATTTCTGTAACTTTCTCAATGGTTTAAATGATCTACCTCAAAATGGACAAGTTCTTTGTATTGAGGTTTACACTACCTATACGGGCAGACATAAGTAGTATGTATCAGGGAACGGAATTAGAATGTTTACCAGCAGAAGAGTGAAGTAAAGAGAAGATGAAAGAAAATGATAAGCAAATGGAACAACAACAGGATTGGAAGAATGATAAACTGTGTAAAAGACAACTGAAGGAAAATATACAAATGATGTATTCAATTTATGATTTTCATATTTTACAAAGATACTGTTTGAGTTTGAATGAAAAGATGGATCGGTTTTTCTCTCAATATTTTCATCCACTTCAGTTTATTTATTTTTAGTTGCCATTGAGTACTTTACGACTTAATCCACTTGAAATTATTATTTAACATCAGTTTCGGTAATTGGTTTGTATCCGGATGTCTATCACAAGCCTATATAATATTGATTCATTACTGCGCAAACAACAACATCTGATCTACTGTTTAAATCATGATATTGGCATAACAGAACAGGTGGTTTAAAGGCGTATAGAAACAGTAGGGAATCCATTAACAGTACAACAACCTCAAATCTAAGAAGGAATGAATTGAATCGAACTGTTGGTGAATTAGTGTTATTGTTTATATAATTGGAAAATCAGATTGTTGACTTTTATATTGTAACCTGAGTAATCAGGAAGTTGTATGATTTCTCTACAGTCTGATAATCAGACGGTTCACCCAGATGCCGGTAGAATGGTGAACTTCTGTTTAGCAACTGACATACATTTCCATGAGCAACAGACATAACCTTAACACTTAATGGTCATAGAACTCCTTGTAACCCAGTATTCATTCGGAAGATAAAAGCAGAAACTTGTTTTCTATCGGACATAATTCACTGATGATTCAAACTCATGTAGTAATATGGCTGAAATCTTTGACTAAATAGCAATAAAATTTGGAAATGACAATAAGTATTTTGCTTAGTCATCAATGCTACAAAACCCGATTAATAGAGAAATAGTTCATCAGGAACAATAAGACATATGACAGCGATTTGTGGGTTAAACAGAAGCTTAAATTTAGCTAAACATGAAGATGCAACAGTCCAAGAGTGGTTATCATTCATACGATACACCCAAAACTTCTATATTGATGCTACTCATTTTTCATATCATGTTTAAAGGAAACAAAGCTATTTGATCAGTGTGACGTAGAAGAACTGGAGTTTAACTCTTCTAATTCAATGACATGAAATTTCATAGAATATTCACGTAGGTGAACTAAACCATCATTGATTTTAACGAGTAATTTATCATAATATCATATAGGTCTGATACAACTGTCATGATTCAATTAATTTCAGAATGAGGGTTTTTGTGGAGATTGTAGTAATTTTAATCGTTGAATTCATGAGTCGATGTAAACTAGACCACCACTTAAAACCCACAAGCGCTGGACGGTTGTTTCGTTCTAGTATGGGGCTCTTCATCAGTGCGCATCCACGATCCAGCACCAAGTGGACTACAACCCAGAAACTTCGGTCTTGCGCATAAACGCCTAACCTCTAGACTATTGAGCCGGCATCCAACGGTGTTAATGTCTAACTTCAGTCGATCCATGATGTTTTGCAATTATTCATCCATTGTCTGAGTTAGATACTTGTATCTATCCGAAAGTGAGATAGGTTTTTGTATTCATTTCATGTAATAGCTCTTTCAAATTCATCTTATTTCACTGTATTTCAAATAAACTATATAAATGAAATATATATATTTAAATTTCACAAGCGTTAATGATTACAATCTCTATTCAGAGCCTTGGGAGTTCTCTCAGAGTTTGTGAGTGACTTTTGTTGCACTCTTACATATCAATCAGAACTCCGAAATAACCACCGGTCCGCCACAAGAGTTAATAATTACCTATGTTTATTTTAGTTTCCAAGATAAGAGACTTTAAAGCCAAATTTAATAAATCTCTAAACAGGATATTTTGATGAATTCAAACAAAATAAACGATTGTATAAAATCTGAATGAATGAACAAACTATAAAATGATAAAATTCACTGTGTATTGTTTACTTGAACCTTCACAAGTGAATTTAAACTTCACCCTAACGCACAAGCAAGTGGCTATCAGGACTATCAGTAGCGTTAGTGAGATGGTGGAGAAGATTTGTAGCTCAGGTGGATGATTTGAATGGAGTTCTGTTCTCTGAGCTGAATGGTTTGGTCGTGGAGCTTTCATCGTTCTTCTGAACGACATCATCAGCACAAACTTCAGATAGACTTCAGATAGAAGTCTATGAAGTTTAACAGGTTGTTCCAAGATAATTCATCGTTTACTAATATAATATCCTACTCGAAATTATTAAATTTAGTACAACAAATTCAAAACACTTTACTAATACAACTGTGTTGTTGACAATAAAGTATTGACCTCATTTAAGTAAGTGTAAATCAAAATAAAGGCATTAAAACTGAACATTTAACACATAACCTACCAGTTGGTTTAAAATTGTGATATGGTGATTCAGCGACTAGACGTGCAATAAGTGTAGTACATGATAAACGACTACTCAAACCACTTGATGGTTGTTTACATGGAATCGATATTACTGAACAACAATATTCAGGGCAATTATTCAATCGGAATGATGAATGTAATGATATTGTACTACTAAATCGTTTATTGATTTGTGATTGATCAGTCCATGTATTATTAATATTATTATTATTATCATTATCATTATCGTTAATATTATTATTATTATTATGATTATTTAATGAGGGGTCAGTTGTTGATGAATCTCCTCCTAATGTATTACTCAATTTTCTATTGACTTGATTATATTCAAAGGATGCTGAAGGAAATAATTTCGAACACTGCATAAGATTTGATGTCATACTTTGTCTTTCAAATGGTGTATTACAATCAGTTTTCAATAATTGTGAAATTTTTTGAGTTGAACTATTCTTTTTTGATCGATTCACATAGAATGTTTTATGCCTTGAACATTTTGCAGATTGAAGCCATGCTTCAGCTAAATTATGTATATGATCTATTCTATGACCATTACATATTTTTTCTTCTAAAAGATCAATCTTATTCAAGAAGACAATCATAGGAACTTTTCGTAAATATCTAAAAAATTGAGAAACAACAAAAAACAAGTATTTTTGATGAAGAAAATTGTTACTTTATAAAGTGCATTCAGTAAAAATCAGGACTCAGTAGCTAAGTGGATAACGCGATGGCGTTTGAAGTTAACAGGACTGGGTTAGAGACCAAGAGTGAGAATCAACTGTGAAATATAAGTACATCCAGCTGATCAGTACGAAATAGGAATAAACGTGCGTCAAACTGGATTCGACTGTTAACCAACATTCATCTTTGCTTAAATATCAGCTGAGTTGAAAATACCGAAAAAATGACTATATGAACACTTATCAACTGGCGAGTATACATTTTCAGTTAATTCGGTACGTTTTCTTAGAGTAATATTAATAATTATGACAGTTTAATTCTATATTGCAAATTTTAATATGGCGAAAAATTCTGAGCACCCATTGTATGATTTTGTTATAAAATTTCTGTTTATTACAAGTGTGGTGCATGTTACTTATATTGATAGATATAAGTAGTATGTAAAACCAATCGGAAGTGAAATGCATGTCTAAATAAGATTGAACTGTGAGAAAAGAAACAGAAAGAAATTGAAATTTAAAAGAATCATGAAGGACTTAAACGACAGCTGATAGGATATTTTTCAGCTCAGCTGTTATAACAAATATTTTAGCACTCATCATTCATGAATTCCAAGTTATTTGTTATTGGTTTTTTCAAAGGATAGACAACGAAGAAAAACAAATGTTGATAAATTTAGTGTTTTCCATTACTCAGCATTAGCACTAACTTGAAATGCTGAATGGAAACGAAAGAAAGAAAGACCAAAGAACACACTAAGCCAAGAACTGGAAGTAGACATCAAAGGATGAATAGCAACTGGACACAACTGGAAAGAACTATCCAGAACATAGTTCGATAAAGAATCCTGGTGGATAGCCTATGCTCCTTCACGGGGGGGGGAGTAACATGCATAAGTAGGTAAGTAACTAACATCACATTACTTAGCATTCCACTAATTTGTAGGTCCTTTGAAATAGTTCATGTTTACATACAGTGAAGTTTTACAAATGTTCAGTTTAGACAAATCTAAGGCAGAAAAGTCTATTGAAGAATAAATTGGAGAATAAATACCCCACAAACATTTAAACAGACCGCTAATCTCATTTATGCCCCTAGTACAACATTGACATATTTTTGATATTTGCTTTTACTATTCTCATGATAAAACTATCCTAGAATATGTGCCAATAGATAGTTCTAGAATATACATTTAAACAAATATTTAACTGTGTACAGTCAACAACAACAAAAAAAACGGAACTTACTTATTATTCCATGCTTGTTCGAATACTTCTAATGAATCAATTAATCGATTCTGTCGATGATCTTCAAGAAGTGTTTTATCGAAACCACTACAATCGACAAGGTATAGAATTGCAGTGACATTATCAAAAAATTGAATCCATTTTTTTCGTTCACCTCGTTGTCCACTAACATCAACTATGCTTTATTTAATTTTAAAATAATGAATTAAAGAGTATAGAAAATATTTACTGTAGAGTATTAATTGTGTATACTGTATCTTAACTTGTGCGTATATTTAATAATATCTCTCAGTAGCGCGTAGTCATGGCAACTAGTTGTGATTACATTCGTAGTTATTTTTTTTCAATGATGATGCGATGAGTTTAATCGCCATTATATCCCCTTAGCTAACTGAGTTGGTTTTCTATGAAGTTTGGTTATCTGTATCGGTATACATTTGAAGCATCTTTCTATTGGTTCAACTGAATTATTTATTATATTTACCTAAATTGCATAGTAATATGTATTTTGCACAATAATATATACCCGTAAATTACACTGACTATAAAGATTGATAAAATAAAGATCAACATAAAATGTTTAAACAATAAATCCTAATTTCAATGGTTAAGATCATGAGTCAGTTGAAGCTAGATCACCATGGAAAACCTGGAAGCACTGGACGGCCGTTTCGTCCTATTGTGGGACTCCTCAGAAGTGCGCGTCCACGACCTCGCTCCCTGCGAGATTCGAACCCAGGTCGTCCAGTGCTTCCAGGTTTTCCATGGTGGTCTGTCTTCAACTGACTCATCATCTTAACCATTGAAATCACTGTAATATCCACAAAACCCGTCTGAAAATAAATCTTAAGTTTGTATATCATACTTACCGAAATCGAACTGATGATTTTCGACCTGTTGGAATATCAAACTGTAATTCATTAATATTATCAGTCATTTTACGACACCTCAAAATATCCTATTTATTAAGGGAAAAAATATATAAAATTTTCTAAAATGAATCTAAGTATGAGCTTATTACCAAAAAAAGAGGTTCTTATTTCTAGCACGAATCACTTGAACTCGAAATTAGATTACAGTAGTGTGGTGTGTGCTACGTATATCGACAATGACAATTATACAACGATAGTTAGCATTAGAGTGTCTGACAACAGAAGGTCGAGAAAGAAAGAATGGGAACAGACAGTAATTGGTATGAAAATGCAGGAACAATTGAGTTTTAGACGATTAACTGATGTTTGCAAAAGTTTGAGACAACTGATTGACATTTTGCAAATGAAGTATTAGATGTATGGCCCTCAGATTTTTGCAAAATGTTCTGTAATTTTATTCCCAATTGTGTTCTCGTTCACTACAGTAGAATAGTGTATATTATGAAATCGTATGATCACTGAGTAGTGACCAATGTCAGATATATCAAACTCTTCTTAATGCTAACAAAATTCTATAGAATCATTTACGATGTGGTTACTAGTCTAAGTGATTTGACACCACTTGCAGTATGTTACGGTATTAAATAGCTGGAGGTAGTTGGGTTTAAAATTCTGTTTGACCTCATTTTCGTTCTAGTTAGCAAGGTGTGCCTACAATCTTAAGGGCCATGACCTAAATACCTAACTGGTAATATTTCAGTCTGTGAAACTGTGGAATCCAGGAAGTGCGTTCCGTCCTATTTGGGACTTGTCAACTGGATGTACTAGCATTATTCCACTGCTAGCCACTATCCATCTTTGCTTAAAAAGCTTGTGATTTAAGGCTAATATCAAGGCAATCCGTACAGAATGCACATATGCCAACGTGAGACTTATCAATTGCAGTCCTAAATAACAATAGGAAGATACAAGTAAAATAACACTAAGTGAATTTTTTAAAAAATTGTAGCTGATACAGTTTTATCGAATGTAACCATCAGTATGTGTAAAACATCTTTGAAACAAAGGCTTACTAACCTGATCTGTTGGTACATAGTCTGGTCTTCTGATAGCATCAAAACGTCGCATAAAACTAAGTTGTAAACATAGATTTAAATGTTTCTTTTAGATTAATTATTATCAAGTGATAAAGTGTCAATAAACGTTACTAAAATTATATTCTACTTAGTTAATAGAATTGTATCTATGTTACACTGATATAAGTAAATAGTTTACGTTTTTTCTAACTTAGATAGTCACACCGCTTATCGCGTATTCAGTTCCTCTCTTTCTACCTGGTTTCTGAAAACACATAGCGTATATTTGTTCGAATATAACACATACTTTTGGTGACAAGATATTGTTATCACTACTAAATATGACGAATATTACTGAAAATCGGTTGGGAATGTCAAACAAGTAAATCAATGAACGGCACCAGAATAGTTATATATAACAGTGTAGGCTTTTTCAAAGTGTTGGTGTCCAAAGAAGCCCTGAAGACTATGTGGAACATTTTACTCAATTAGCATTCAAAAGAAGGTCTTAAAAACATCTAGAAAGTGAAGAGTCATGTATCAAACTTTTGATTGAATGATTACCTCTCCCACCACTTTATTTAGGAGGGTTAAAAATCAGTGTTGTTGGGCTTTTGACCATTGATTTAAATCTTCTCTAATGTTAAAATCGATTCATAGTGGTAAATGCTCTGAATATCTCAATCTGACGATTAATTCTATCATTTAATCAATAATCCTTAAACTATTCGATCATAATTCAGCTGCTAATTTAGGAAAATAGATTAACGATTTGTTACATTAGACAGTCATCTAAATCTGTTATTAATAAACAAGCTTCATATAATAGAGCATAACAAGCTAATTGAATGAGAAAACTAGGGGCTTGTATGAAGCTTTTCTTAGCTAATCTGAATTGAGATTCATTCACAATGCATGTATTAATGTATGTATGGTTCTCCAGAAAGTCAACCTAAATCTTAACCAATAGCATGAGTAAGTCAAAATCTTTCTTTTGCTTTAATTGAGATCATGAACCGATTGATGTTAGACCGCCTTTCGAAACGTGGAAGCACTGGACGGCCGTTTCGTCTTATTTTAGGACTACTCAGCAGTGCGCATCCACGATCCCGCTCGCGGAATTCGAGCCTAGGGCCTTCGATCTCGCGCGCGAACGCTTAACCTACTGGACCACTGAGCTGGGATCCAATAGTGATAGTGTCTAACATCAACCAACCCACGAAATTGCACGACCATCTTCCATTGTAATGAGGTAGATACCTGTCTCTACCCGATATGGATTAGCTCCACTGGTCACGGCTTCTCACTAGAACTCCGAGAATGCCCTCACGAAGCTAGTCACTAGTGAGCACTATTTGACCTTTGACCGGTATGTTTGCTGAAGCCAAATAACTTGTCTCTCCTGAAAAATAAGTCTTCTATTTTAGGTTCAATTTCAGGAACTAAGATAAATTGTACATAACTTTTAACCAACTAAAAACTTATAGATTCAGTTAAGAATAAAGATAGATATTACCGACAATTTTACAAATAGTTTCATCAATATACAATAATAACTTACTAAGTGGCTGAGTCAAATAAATGAAATTCTGTAGATCTTGTATAAGCTCTCTGAACTCCTGGATCATGCCATATTTCATCCACCTCATCAAAAAAGGTCTATATAATGTAAAATTAAATTATGGTAAAACACTTATAGATTTTATACGAGTGATTTTTGATACTTATTAGTGGCCTGCTTGAATATCTGGGCTACCTGTTCCTGCCATCTTGATATTTTAACACGTTATCTATATTTTGTCTGTTTCAACATATCACTATGTTAATGAATTGCACAACTTATTCAGGTACGTTTATAAAATGTCTACGACATTTCGCTGTACAAGTTAGGGAAGAGCACAATTAGAGACATTGTGGTTGCTTTGAGTATACATCGAAATGAATGTACATTATTAAGATGTCTATTCCTGAACTGCTAATATTTATTTGGAGATCACTCAATATTTATCATCAGGATCGACCAAGAAATAAGAAAAGGAAACTTGAAAGTGTCCCCTTAATAACTAGGACCGGATGAGCTTTATAAATCTGTGTGAGGAATTCGAATTTTGATTTACAGTTGACGGTTAAGGTTAGGAATTAGATTTAGGGTTTTCATCGCGAACTAACATCAGCTATAATGTCAAAGCTCTATTCAGCCAAATGAATGAGTAAATTTCGCGCCAATACCCGAGACCTGTTATCTTATACGTGATTGGTTCGTCCACAAATTATAGCCTCACCTACATTTCTAATCTTTAATAACCACAACTTTACTAGATATTAGAAACTTGTCTGTGTTCTAAAGAGTAAGTGAATGAGAGCTATGAAATATTTATTTTTGAAGGAATATAAATCCTATAAAACATCTTAAAAATAATAGTTTTTAACAACAGAATATAGGTAATCATAAAGACTAGTGTAAACTACTATAAAGCACCGGATCGTTTATAAGTAGCTCAAAGATTAGACGTTTATGACGAGATCGGAAAGTCCTGAATTCGATCCTCAGTGAGTTTATAGATGTGTACTATTAAAGAGTTTTAATTTCAAACAGTTGTTCGACTAAACTCAATTCATGATGTGAAATATAGAATCGATAAATCCTTAAAAGCACCTTATACTACTAATAATAGATAAATAGATAAATAAATTTTCACAGGTTGAAATCATGAGTCAATTGAAGCTAGACCACCATGGAAAACCTGGAAGCACTGGACGGCCGTTTCGTCCTAGTATGGGACTCCAGCAGTGCGCATAAATTTTCCTCAGATAACATGTTGAGAATACTAAGCTGAAGGCAACTTTACACGAAATTAATATGAAATAAGAATGAATTTTAAAGTTGACGAATATCACTTATTGTGAAAGGAAGTATTAAGTCTCAAATTATTATACACTTATTTTTCTTCTTTTTTTCCGGTTAGCGTTTTTTTAGTGAGTTAGTTTTCTACAGGATGGGGTCGTTAACCCCATGCCCAACCCTCCTACTTTACCCGGGCTTGAGACCGGCAGTAACTCTAGGAGAGCTACGCAAATCATCAAACTGCATCACGAGGCAAGCCCTGACTTGGAATCCTGAAGGGAAGCGGAAAAGAGGAAGGCCAAAGAACACATTACGTCGGGAAATAGAAGCAGATATGAAAAGGATGAATAACAACTGGAAGGAGTTGGAAAGGATTGCCCAGTACAGGGTTGGATGGAGAATGCTGGTGAGCGGCCTATGCTCCTTCACGAGAAGTAACAGGTGTAAGTAAGCAAAAAGTATTATATAATTATAATAGGTAATACTAAATCATATATCTCATCATACTTAATTACATATATGAAACCGACAGTAAATCAGAGTATCATTTGAATTTTTAATTGTAAGAGTATATGTAAAAAATAAAGTATAAAGAAATTAGACCGAAGGTTAAGCGTTCCCGTGCAAGACGGTAGGTCTCGGGTTCAAATCCCGCGAATGGGATCGTGGATACACATCGCTCACGAGTCCCATGCTAGAATGGAACGGCCATCTGGTGCTTCCCAGTTTTTAATGGTGGTCTAGTATATATCGACTCATGAATTTAACTATTGAGATTACTACAGTCTCTACAAAAACCTTTTTCTTCAATTAGGTACCTAATTTTTAACAAATACTTTCATTTGAATTACTTGAATTTACTATGTAGAATTGATCAATCATCTTGAATACAGTCAGTGAATTCAACTATGTAGTAACTAGTATATAAACTGTTTAAAATCTTAAATAACTTACATCAGGATAAGTATAATCTTCAGCCAAAGAATTGTCTATAAGATTTTTAGCTAAATCAGCAGTTCGAGTTTGAATAAATTCAAGTTGTAATGTTTTCATGCCTCCAAGAATTGACTTGAAAAAAAAATAAAATACAAAGTGAAATTGTAGGTAATTGTATTCTGAATTATTGTAGAAAATTGGTATAAAGCGTTATGTGAACTCATTGTGTCATTATATGTGTTCATCTATGGTTAACCGTAATTTTGTTTATTTGTATTAAATTTTGTTCATTCATACTAATATATCTCTATTTTTCTAGTTTATTGTTTTATCAGTATAGGGTTGTGGAGATTATTGAGTTTAGATTGATGTCGTGAATGAAACAATGTTTGATCACCATTGAAAATCTGAAAGAACTGAATGGCTGTTTCGTCCTACTGTGGGACTTCTCAGCAGTGCGCACCCATAAACCCATGACCTATCAGTCTTGAGCACTAACTTTTAACATCTAGACCACTGAGCAAGTATCCAATAGTGTGAATGTCTAATTTCAGTTAATTCACGAAATTGAGCCACAGTCCACCATTGTCTTCAGTGAGTTACTATCGTACAATAAACCCGGTTGTACTCCACTGGTCACGGCTTTCCACTAGAACTCCAGGAAATACCCCTTGGAGACCGTCATTAGTAAACATATGATGATTGTAATCAAAGAGAAGTTTTGTGTATATTATAGTAGAGTTTAAGCAGTTGCCCCCAAGATCGATAGGTTCTGTGTTCGAATCTCGCGGGGCTGGATCGTGTATGAGCACTGCTGAGGAGTTCCATACTAGAACGAAACGGCCATCCCGTTCTTCCAGGTTTTTCATGGTAGTCTAGCTTCAATTGACTTATAAATTCAACTGTTAAATTATTATAATATCTACAAAACCCCTCTCTGATTATAAGTGAAAATTCCTATAAGCATACTTCGTTTACAACTATTTCAATGATCATTTTCTATAGGATATCGCATATATTTAAAAATTCGTGTGTGAAACTACACAAACATTGATTTAAATCTTTGCTATTTAGGAGTTAATGATGAATGGTAGGATGGATACTTTTGATTCTTTTTACAAATCTGTGCCTTAGAAACAACTGAAAAAATAAACAAATAATTTATTATAACAAAACTTACCAGTATTACATCTCTTATATTCTGTTTAATGATTGGAATATAATCTAGCCTTTCCCTTAAATATAAACAAAATAATATTCTGTAATTAGATTATTTATTAAAATATAATTAATACTATCTATTTCGAAGAAAATAAGGAAACGGTAATTTCATTAACCCTTTTTGAGGAATCAAGTGTGGGAAAATATGGATAATTACAGTACAAACCTGGTTTAAGTTGATTGGTCAAAATTGTTTACGATAACCTATCAAAATATTGAAACACAAGAGTAACGTGTATTTGTAACAAGAAGTTACTTAAACCAAATGTATATATATATATTGTATGAATATCTTACTGATAATACTATGAATAAAAATGATCAATGAATGTATAATCAAAGATGGTTGGTGGTTAGCAGTGGGATCTAGAATGAGCGTTTCGTCCTATGTGTGACTCGTCAGCTGGATATATCTACACCCCGAAGTTGATGTTCACTCCAGGACTCGAACCCAGTACCGTTCACTTTAAATGCCATTGCGTTATCCATTTGGTGAACGGTACTGGGCTCGAGCCCCGGAGTGTATATCGACTCTGAGATGCTGGTATATCCGGCTGACGAGTTTCAAATATGACGAAACGCGCGTCCTGCATTTCACTACCGGCCACCATCAAATGTTTGTTTATAAAGCTTGTGAATCAAGGCAATATCGAGGCAATCTGTAAAGGATACACATATGACTGATCAATTGCAGTCCTAAACATCAATGGGAAGATCCAAACAAACAATACACAAAGGATTGATTAATATATTTGCATCTAGATTGCACAATGATTCTTTTTCAATATGTGCGATTCTCATAAATGATTGCCATCAAATGTCTTGAAAATTTGAATACATACTGAAAGCCGTTTATCATTCGTTAAAAAAGATATTTTTTGTATGTCTTTAGTTTTTCGCTTCTTTGGGATTACGGATAAACTAGAAACACAGATTCATGTCAGAAAATCGCGGATCTAGACTTGGTGTTAGTTAGAACTTATCAGCAAAGTTTAATTGTAACCATGAGGTAACCCATATATCTTGGCGAAATTCACAGTTTCAGACGCTCTTAAAGTTTAATTTGAACAGTAACTGATGTCCAGTAGTTGTGATTTACGACATCCTGTCAACTATCTCTAATCAACTAACATTTCAACATAGGCCATAAGATCTCGAGTTCTTTAGAATAGTGGTCACATTACGAATTAATCAATAAATTTCTACTAACACTATAGTGTTGGACACACATGACACCGAACGCTCCTCAATGATTTATCAAATGTAAGAACTTATATTACCTTTCATGTATTAATTCGTGATGTAACTAAATTTCTTACAAACCTTTAATAATACCTTAGAAGTATTTATCACAAGGTGAGATGAAGGAAATATAAATTGAATGATAGATTAATATATTAGAGTGAAGGGAAATTTAAAGCACTAAGTTGTTTACACTAATCATCGTTACAGTTTTGACGGCTTGAATATATCTTGATAGTCTAGCGTAAAGTAAATGCTTTGTAAACAATTGTGGTGAATTTAGGGCTCTTGGAGACTGCTGAATTTTATCGTGTCAAGCGTTCATTTGAAGGCCCTGCTTGAGATCCGTAGTGGATCGTGATAGTTCACTACTCATGAGTCTTAGACTAGGATGAAATAGCTGTCAAACTAAGGTCATCACGTGACACATACTAAATAATTTTGAACCGAAAATCCGATATAATTTCAGTGCCACTACTTCAATCGTAAACTCCATTCATGTTGTACAGGCTAGATCTGCGATATGCGTGTAACATTTAAACCTGACGCAATCACGTTCATTACGTTTGCTTGATAGTTTCTTTACCCTTTTTCACTATCAAAGTCTATCGTGAATATTCAGGAAATTTTTGAATAAAATAAGTCTGTATATTACCAGTATCAAAAACATACGTTCTAGCTTCTCGGAAAATTGCAAACTGACCGAAAGATAGGTATGAACAAAGTTAAACTTATACACAACAGTATAAATTCACAGCTTTAAAATGATTATGGAAATATTTTGGAACCCATAAACCGTACTGCATCATGCTAGTAGAGTTTCTCTATTGATATTTAATATGAAAACGACGCCTCGTAAAAACGTTATATTTAGACTTAGATGAATGATTTGCTCTGTAACGTTTAAAAAAGTAACTGTGTAATTTTTAAAATGAAGTTATTTGTCATTAATGACTGATTTCAGATAAGTAATAACTGAAGGCTATGGATAGCCCTGAATAGCTATTTCTCTCTGGTATTTTATTTCGCATCAGTGCTGAAATAAGATGTATTGAGGGATCAAGACAAAGACTATTAAGTTGTCACAGTCCACGACACCCAATTCAGGTACAAATGCTAATTATAATCTTCAGAAGTGACTAAGACGTTGTAATTGACAAACGTGAATAAACATGCACGCAAATTACTGGTATTCAAACACTAATCCTTATAAGTAAATCATGGATTTGTTTGCTGAGGCCTTTCTTAAGTGTATAATTGACTTCGTTCAATAATGTGCCCGTTTTTAGTTTCTAGCCTACCGTTTGACCTTGGACTAACTTTCGAGCTGCCTAGCTTTGCACAAACATATGATATGTATAGAATATTCCAGTCTACCAAGATCTATATGAAGCACTATATAATTGGACCACTGAGTTGAAATCCAGTGGTTCTCACCTCTAGCTTCATGCACTTTACGATATAGCTTAACCATTCTTAGTTATATCGGTGAAATCTGTTACACTCCCCAACATGATTAACCTCAACTAATCACGAATTTTCATCAGAACTTCGAGAAACAATTGTTCAATACTTCCTGTTTTTCAATAGTTGCATAATGAAAGTCAGTTTAGGATGGAAAATTACGTCCTTCTTAACAAAAAATGCCGCAATATAATGTGATTTCACTTACTTATTACTAAAGCCATTGATGTGAATAATTTTCATTTGTTTTAATAGTGTAGATTTTCCTGATTCTCCAGTACCTAAAATAGTATAACAAGCAATCAATTAACAGAGCATTATTAAATCTTGAAACTTCAGTGAACTTTGAATAAACAAATTTTTTTATTATAAAATAGTTCGTATCTGGTTATTAGTAGAATCCGGGACTCGATTGCATTTGCTATGATTGAATGTAACTGAACCTCAATGTTAATGTTTACACTAATACTGTAACTTGGTGCTATTCTGTTTGAATAGGATAAAATCTACGTTCTAGATTCCATTGCTGGCTATTTACAGAGATTTAATAAATAAAAGTAATCTACTTAAATACAGACGAAGGATTGTGTACTAAAGTGTTAGGAAAAGAGGGCAACAGAATATGATGTATGGTAATTGTCCATCTAACGAGTATAAGAAAAGGGACCAATAAATTAAAAAGATGAAGATGATGATAACAAATAGTTAAAATTTAAAAAAAAAACACTTAAAGAAAGTAATAAATAATTAGTTTATTTACTATGGAAAAATAAAAGTGTTTGGACCACGTTTTAACGACAGATTGGACGTGTGGCTCTAAAACACAGAGTTTACAGTTGAAATAATAAATTGCAAACGCCTCCGTAGAGTATAAGTTATTGATTTATACTTTCCTTTGAACTCAATTATCTAACTATGTAGAAGGGTGTTTCTGGCAGGACAGCAAAACCAGCATTGACGAGATGTTTCATGGTTGATTTATTGATTACTTTACATTCTTCATTTAAACGCCAGTCACGATAGTGCTCCGAGATGATTGTAGAGAGAGTTCCTAAACTACTTATTTCGGTTACTTTGATAAGAACATTTTGACTGAACAAGAAAGAACAAAGCTAGGTCGACCCGGATTTGTATAGTTTATCTGTCATTTTGTTGGGTGGCGTTGGTCTGATCTGCAAATGATGTAATACTATTGTCTCTAACAACACTTGTATTAAACTATTACTACCCTACATTTCAAATCAATATAAAGGATACATGAATATTGGGTAAAATAGGAAAGAAAATGGTTTTACACGTCTTTTGTTCAGTTTACTAGCATACTTCACAATAGCGAACTTCCACGTTACACAAAATGGCTAAACATTTGGAAGTTATAATATTTTGTAAAATAAGATATGAATCTTATGTGGCTAAGTGAATATTGCGGTGATCTTTGGAGCGAAAGGTACTGTGAACGTCAACACTGGAATGCATGTACGTCCAGATAACGAGTTTTAAATGAAACGATATGAGCGTCTTTTATTCCATCGCTTGCTACATTCCATTTTTTCTACATAAAATTGTATCGTATTGGTTATATATGGAGGATATTCACATACGATGCACATGTGCCAACCAAGAATGATCGAATTTCAATCAACGTTTCAACAATTGAACAACTTAAACCAGGTAAAACGATTATATGAATCCTATAAACTTTTGTTACTTAATTAGTTGATTAATTCAACTAATTAATTAATTAATTCAACCAAAACAGAGAGGAAAACTCAATGGAAAAACATAACGTTTGTTAGAAACTGTATAAGATTGATATTTTTATTGGGTATTATATATTGGAAAAAAGACCCGTATGATAATCAATTCATGATCCCTAATCATTTTCTAACCAGTAATGTAATGAATCAACTTGTATAAATAACTGACTACAGATTGAAAAATAAGTTTATTTGATGAATATCAAAAGATTCATTGATTGAGATCATGAATCGATTGATGTTAGACCACCATTGAAAACCTGGAAGCACAGGAAGGCCGTTTCGTTCTATTGTATGACTCCTCATCCACGACCCCGCTTGCGGGATTCGAATCGGACTGGTCGACGTTAGACATTAGCACCGTTGGATTCCGAGTCAGTGTTCTAGAGGTTTAGCATCCGCGCTCAAGGCTGAAGGCCCTGGGTCCGAATCCTGCGATCGGGATCGCGGATGCGTACTGCTGAGGATTATCACAATAGGACGAAACGGCCCTCCAGTGCTTCCAGGTTTTCAATGGTGATCTAACATCAATCGATTCATGATCTCATTCAAAAATCTAATAATCTCCACAACCGTATACTAAGACTATCAAGACAACCTCAAATTTATATGTACAGTTCTTTGTTATTTATCCATAAGTTTATCACAAAACAACAATCACATTCTTTAATCACTGTGGTTACAATTAATTAGAACACAATGACAAATAAAACCCATTTGAAAAACAAAAAAAGTAGGTAACAATCATTTTGTGCAAACAATTAGGTCAACTACATAACTAAATCAGGAATTACTACTCTGATAAAATTTTTCTCATGACATATTTTTTCGACATTTTTTATTCAATAAAAATTGTATAACAACAATACGAATTGTTTTAGTAACTATGATATTAGAATAGATTAACTTAAGATGTGGTGGTGGTGGTGGTGAGGATGATGTGTGTGTCTGTGTGCATGTGTATGTTTAATGCAGTCCGATGAACTTAATATATAATATTAAACACTTAATATTATTATATTATGGCATATCTAGATCATCATATAATTTGTGTATATTATACATGTGTCGTTTATTTTTTCTTCGAAGGATAATATATAACCGGACATTTATAATGAATATGAATCTATCTTGAAAACATTGAATAATACATTTGATCAGGTCACCTATTATTATTATTATTCAAAAAGATGAATATGAAATTTGTAATGATGTTATGCATATGAACTATTACATAGAATACATTTAAGATCATCTTTCATTCAGGTCATTCAAATATGAATTAAAATTAAGATAAAGAAAAAGATATAGAGATAAATCAAACAAGTACCAAGGTGATGATTTGGAAGTTGTTTTTTTTGGGGGGGGGAGGCGAGGAGATATTCAAAAAGAAATGTATGTAAAACGAGTAGTATATTAGTTAAGATGTTTAAAATAATGACAAGAATATTACTTTTTCCGTCAGATAATAAAAACAATGGTGTTAAGCGTATCAGTTAGTATAGGGTTGTGGAAATTATTAGGTTTTTGAATGAGATCATGAATAGATTGATGTTAGACCACCATTGAAAACCTGAAAGAGCTGGACGGCTGTTTCGTCCTATTGTGGGACTCTTCAGTAGTGAGCATCCACAATCCTGCTCGTGGGATTCGAACCCAGGGCCTTCAGGCTTGAGCGCGAACGCCTAACCTCTAGACAACTGGATCGGCATCCAACTGTGTTATTGTCTAACGTCAACCAATCCAATTCGAATCCTGCGAGCAGGGTCGTGGATGAACGCTTCTAAGGAGTCCCACAATAGAACGAAATGGCCTTCCTGTGCTTCCAGGTTTTCAATGGTAATCTAACATCAATCAGTTCATGATATTAAACGTATCAAACTCTCCATTTTCTGTGTAGATTGTAAATAACTCACCAAACAATATTAACCCTAATTCTTTTGTAGCCCTCGAATATCTGACTCCTGATAGATCGTACGATTGATTTTTATTGAAATATACATGTCGTCAATCCTTGTATAAAATTATAGACTTAAATGGCTTCAATGAGTAACAAAATTAAATAAGTTAAATACGAGAATGGATTCTTCAATACGTATAATTTGTACACTTATTGATCTGGACAGGTAGAGGAACGAAGCGAAAAGAAGAGAGCAAAATGAAATAACGCCCAGTGGAGAAGTCGTATTAGCCAACTCGATTTAACCAGGCATGGATCGATATTTATGGTCAGATAAAAATAAGTTACAAACATATGATGAGTAAGATAATAAGTGCACACACATACCTCTTACATAAAAACGGCGAAGATTGATAAGCGAATAAATAAAAAGATCAAAATGTGACTCATGAAGGATGGATAAATTGACTTGTCCGGAAGCTAGAATAAGCAATGTGGACTTAATATAGCAACTGACACTATAATTCCTAAATCCTCATTCCATGACGTTAAATCCCCTGAGTCTAAACCTAAACTCAAACCGGGAATAACGTGAGAACTGTGATAAAAACTGTTTTCATTTTTATAAAGGTTAGAGAAATTGTGTACTTGAAAGCCATTTAGATGAATTTATATATCATTGTTTTTTTTCGATTTACAGACTGAAAACTCAATAGAAGACATAAATGAATTCATTAATTATGCGAAATCTTGACAACCTTTTTTTGATTTAATAGTTGAATTCATGAGTCAATTGAAGCTAGATCACTATGGAAAGCCTGGAAGCACTGGATGGCCGTTTCGTACTATTGTGGGACTCTTCAGCGGTGTTCACCCACCAACCCGATCGCGGTATTCGAACCCAGAACCTGTCGGTCTAGCGTGTGAATGTGTGATTAACAAGAGACTTAGATTCATCAAGATTATCCTAAAAATATTTAAATATGATCCCTACGGTATTTTCTCTTTACGATATTAACATAATAAGTTAAAAAAACTGGTATTTTTCTTGTTAGGAAACGTTTTGGATGGAAGAACAATGAAAATTGAATAGAATAATTTATGTTTCAAAAAAGTATTTGTTTTGGATGAAATTCCTGATGTATTGGACAAATCTCCTTGAATCTAGGTCGTCAATTATTGGTTACTATAAGGAGGAAGTATATCTGTCATTGAGTAAAATTATGCAATTTCTGAGGCTATACATCTTAACAACACAACATAAAACATCAGTGTTAAGCCTTTTAAAACTTATATTCATAACAAGAAAGATTATTAATAATAAATATGCTTCAGTTTATTATAACTGCTGACTATTAGTATGACCACTTACATTTCAGCTTTGTATCAAGTTACTTATAAAAATGAAAATATTGATGATCATCCACATACAGAATAATACGTTAATTGCTATCATTTGATATATATTACTGTTTTAAGGTCCAGACAAACATTTTAATGGGTTCAATGTGTTACTAACCGTTCAACTGTAGTTCCAAAACAAAAAATTCATTTTTAAAAGAATCATAAAATGTTTCCATCTTGGTCAGTCAGTCAGTAACAACGTAGAACTTCGTACGTACGCACATCAGTTCAAGTTGTCATACCACATTAGTAAAGAGAAACAATTGTCGATTTAAATCCCATAATGGTAGAGGTAGTAAAAGTATAAGAAGTAATCGGAAAGATTAGGGTTTGAAAATGTTATTCAAGGAGTATAATCTAGGGAAATAAATGTGGAAAGAAAAGGAAACATGAAGAATTCAGAAGATCAGAATTTGAGAGAATACAAAGAGTGGATTCACCTGCGCCATTGCAAATGATTTCGAGCCATGTCATTCAAGGTATCTAACCATCGGTTGCTATCATCTCGCGGTCCCCAACCAGGTAGTCTACATCTACTAAAATGGCTCAGTCCATTTATCAGTGACTTCATGAATTTGTGCTATGTTTTAGCCTGGCCGCCCCTAGCTTTTTTCCAACCTACTCCTACACCACAAAACGTCTTAGATGGAATAATAATTCGAGTTGAAAATAATATACATTGTTAAGGTGAACTATACTATTCAATAAGATGTATTATGCTGTCTTCAATGAGGTTAGTAGTAACTTATAAGGTACTTTACATCTCAGTTGAAATTTACTCGAGTTAAATATGAGTCACAATATTTTTCATTACATTTGCTGTAACGATATTGTGAAAGATTTCTTGTTCTTGTGGACTTTTGTTCTCTGAGCTGGTTGGCTTCATCGTGGAGCCTCAGATAGAAGTTTGTGCTGATGATATCGTCCAGACGAACGATGAAAGCTCCACGACCAAAGCATCCAGCTCAGAGAACAAAACGCCATCAAAATCATCCACCTGAACTACAAATCTTCTTCAACATCTCAAGATTTCTCGTTCTAAACAGTCAAATGTGTCAGTGTAGATTTATTTACAGTTTTGCTAAAAACATCATATCCCATGTTAAAGGTTAATCTTCTTGTAGTTTCACGGGGTGTCTTGTTTTAGATGTTAAAAAAAATCAATTTCCGTTAACTACCATTTGATAACTTCCGTTTAATTGAAAGTCCAGAAATGGTTACCTTTTGGCATTCATGGCTATTTGGAATTTTCAGAAAACCTATAAGAAAGTATCTTAACCTCCGTTCTTTGTAAATATTTTCCTCGTAATTTCATTAGATTAGTCAATTTAGCACGTTGTCATTAATCATCTCACTATATTTGGCCTTAATTCAATACTCAATAGGATTTGAAATTTCGAGTCAACGGGAGAAAAGTCTATTTTTTTAATTACCTAAACGTAGCTTATATTAAGCAACGAATTAAAACACGGACAATTTCAGTTGAATAGTTCTTTTGCTTTATAAGTAAACACGTTGTTATGTATCTGTTTGTAAATGTCAATAAAGTAAGAGATATGCGCCAAATAAATCATTCGATTTATGTGAGGGCTGGGATTACTACCTGGTTAACCGGTGACCAACATTTGGTTCATACACAAGCTGTTTCCTTAGGATACTAGAGCTCTTGTACACCAATGGTTTGGAGTCAGGGTTTCCCAACTCTCCTAGGTGGATCCTCCGTATCCACTAACCAGGTTAAAGCGCGAACATTCGCTTTTTCGTCCTCTCACTTTCGTAAACAACAGTAATGCCGCAAGAAGGCAGTGAATAGGACTTCCCTGGAAGTGGGTGTATGCACGTGGCCACTTGAAAATATTTTGAGAGGGGATGCTGACTCTCTCCACTCTTGGCTGTACCAGGACATTTGGAAGCAATAAAGTCACTGTTGTAATTTTACAGACATTTTTTTATGGTTACTTAGAACAAATAGTCTATGTTTTATCAAATGGTTAGTAGCATTAGAATGGTCAGTTAGTTATTATTGTTGTTTTATAATAAAAAATTCTTTTTAATCCAACTAGTACCCATAACTATTTTGAGATTTAAGTTAATTTATATTAATAACAAAACAAATGTAGTACACAAACAAATCAATGTTTTAACCAGTTATTTACGTTTGATTGAAGTTTATATATTAGACAGGTAGAGAGACCAACTTTAACAACATGTCGAGCTGAGGGTCATCCAGTTTCTTAACGAGTTCGTTACTTTTAGACCAAGATATTTAAAATAGAACAGTTCATATTCCCAACACTAAAAACCTTATTCTACATTAACCGACATTGCTTGTAAATAAAAATTAGTAACTGACAATATCAATATTCTTTAATAGTTTATTCAAACAGACAAATTTCTTTCTTTCTATACTTAATACTATGCTTTATAAATGTCATATTGTGGTGCGTGCTACTTATATTGATATAAGTAGTATATGACGCGAGTCAGGAATGTAATGTCTGGCAGCAGAGGATGGGGAAGATCAGGAAAGGAAGAGTGGGAATAGAAAGCAATTAGTATGGAAATGCAAGAACAACGAAGTTCGAGACAATTATTGAACATTTTGCAAATTAAGTATTATAGTATGGTTTTTCTATTTTACCAAGTAGCTCTATAATTGTGTGTAATTGGATTGTCCCAACCCTTGTTCTGTTCACTACGATATCATTGGTGTTAACATGATGGTTCCAAATCGTAATTCAATAGTCAGTATTTATCAGTAAGAAATCATACGAAAGATTTCAAAACGTGTTACTTCCCCCTTCCATCAGGTCTCTTTTTAAGACATTGAAACTTCTCAAGAAAACTGATCATTAGAGACGATATTAGTGTAATATATCTTCAAATGTCGATCTGGTTCATAACTTGGATTGTTTAGCAAGTGAGTTGATTTCACGAATACTGTGATAGTACTTTCAGCTTTATATTTATTGTTACATCTCATAAGAACATAATCCACTACATGTATTCCTCATCATTCTGAATAGCCAAATAAACATAACTATCTTTAATTAATAACTTCAAACTTAACTGTTTAGTTCTGTATGGCGACATATTGTGAATGTGACATCTGTATGAAATGAGTTCAAATTGTATTCGATTAACAAATTTAAAATAATTTTTATAAAAAAACACACATACTACTAAAGTGTCATTAAACACCTACCCAGTAACAGTAGCTTTATACAATTTACTTCCATCTTTTTATATATTGATATTTGTCTATCTATCTTTTGTGATATTTTGTCAACTTTTTTTCTGGCTTCTTTTTGACTATCTTTTTCTGAATCACCTTTAAAACACATAGAACAGGTGAAATTCATGAAGATGAAGAATTCACTATCATATTAAATCCATTGAACGTGAGTCTTTCTAGTTTAAAACATGACATATTATAATGTAATTTCCAAAGACTGATGATCATAAGTTCCATATTTCTGATGTCATACTGTTTTTTTTTTGAACAAACTCTATTTAATACTTAAGTGAAATTCAGTAAATTCACCCCCTCCCTCCTCCCAAAAATATACTATAGACTATAACTTCAAATCATAATTATTGTGCCGCTATGGTTATTCACAACATGTATCATTATCCATTTCTAAACAGTTAATATTGGATCTAACCAATAAGAAGAGAGAGTGTAATTCTTCTTCAACTGATTGGGTTAATTAATATTAGTACAATATAAGTGATATACACATATATTGACACAAACTAATTATGTATATAAGTATAAATACATTTGCATACATGAATAGGCACATTTATTTGATATCAGCTGTTTCAACTGAACTTAAACTGTACAATAAGGTGTTTTAATTGATTTTGGTTTCTGAAGGCGGTTTTTCATATGTTAAAATGATGCATTTAATTTAAAATAATGATTTGTTTGCTTTTTGAGCCTTGGTTAATATCAACCAATCAAATGTCTGTATTGTGACCAATGAAATTCAAAGGAAATGTTTCGATTTCACCATTCAATATAATTTAGAATAATCTATAACATTAGATGGTGGTTGGAGGTAGTCGACAGGAAACCCTGGACCCGGGGTTCGTGCTACTTGGCACTCGTCAGCAAGGTGTACCTGTAATCTTAAGGGAACTGGTGTTCCCTGGCGGATTCCATCTCGTGTCACCCAGCTTCACAGTCAGAGACGTTACCACTGGTCGATAGCATTCGATCTGCACTAATAAGGACTAGACACGCATGAAATTGATCGCCACCCAATGATCAATCAATTATGAATGTATAATATTAATGAGTTAATTCAAGACATTTAATTGAATGAATAAATGTGATAAATACGGCATAGAATCCATTTGGCATTGTTCATTTGAACCTTCCCATTGATGTTCAGGACTACATTTGATCAGTTTCTTAATGGCATATGTGCATACGGTGTATTGCCTTGATATAGTCCTAATTCACAAACATTATTTGCAAAGACAGATGGCGGTTAGCAATGGAATCCAGAACTCGAGTTTCGTCCTATTTGGGACTCGTCATCTGGATGTACCTGCATCTCAGAGTTCACTCTGGGACTCGAACTTAGTGCCGTTCGCTTCAAACGCCATCACGTTTGATCACTGATCACTGATGACTGATCAATTGTAGTCCTAAACATCAATCGGAAGATTCAAACGAACAATACTAAGTGAATTTAAGCTTCACCCCAACACAGAATCAGGACTCAGTAGCTAATAGGAAAACGCGATGGTGTTTGGAGCGAACGGTACTAAGTTCGAGTAACGGAGCGAACATCAACTCTAGGATGCAGATATAGCCAGTTAACAAGTCCCAAGTAGGACGAAACACGCATCCTGGATTCCACTGCTAACCACCATCCATCTTTGTTTATAATGCTAGTGATTTAAGGTAATATCGAGGCAATCCGTACAGGATGCACATATTCCAATAAGAGACTGATCAATTACATTCCTAAACAACAATGGGAAAATACAAACAAACAGTACTAGGTCAATTTAACAGTAGAATATGTTTATACCTTATCGTTTGAGGATGTTAGTTACTTCGCTGAATAATTAAAAAGACCATTTAATGTAAAAATAAGCACTGCATAACATTGAGTACACTTTAGTTTTTATTTTGAAATATCTAGACGAATTATTTACTGTGTTCGGTGGAGACAGTTTCATAATTTGATTTTTGTGACATTATGAACTAACAACAAATGTATAACTATTTAATATACGAAAAGAAACTGCTTGGATGATATCAGTTGTAAGATTACATATATAATACGTTCAGTTGTACTATGTCTATCTTAAATTGCACTATTTTGGGAATTATTAGTTGATAAGTCAGAGTGAATACTTCGAATTATCATATAGATATAGATAACAATTGTCTTTACAATATGAAATAAACTAAAATCATGTTTTCATAAATATTTTCATTCTTTCTTGTTTATCAAGCCTTTTGTCAATGTCAGGTCTTTTTAAAGCTAATGTTTATTAGCCCCACAATTAATGTCGGGCGCGTTGATGAGAACTGAGGTTTAATAAGGTTTAATGAGAGATCATTGGTAAACAGTGAGGTCACAAGAAGATCTACCATGGCCTCCTATGAAACTACGGACAAAGACGCTTTTCAATTTCACCATGCTCTGTCAACTTCAGTACAGATTGTTCAGCTCCGTTGATGATTTACTGACTTAGACAGATCAGAAAAACCAATCTGATTGATGTTAGCCAATAAAATGGGGTTTAGTACAAGGTCAAACGCTTTGGTAAAGTCTGGGAATAGTCCACGTGCGGGCAGTTTCTGATCTTGATTCTCTGTACAACTGTCCTATGTTGACAAGGCGTTTGTGTTATGTGACTTCTATTTTCCGAACTCATTATGTGGTTTGCAAAATAATTTATGGACATTTTGTCGTACACCAAGCTTTCAAACGTAATCAAGAGTTCTAGAGGCAGCAACACCAGTCTACAACAGTTTTAATGGTTTATGTTACCTCTGTTGAAAATCACAGAGAAGATCAGTAATTTCCTTTTGGAACTGCTTAGAGATTTAAAAGAGTCAGGACAGGTAACTTATTACAGTATAAACGAATTAAGCTCATATTTCTAAAATGGCACGGTATATTTCATTGCAGCATGTCTAATTTTTGGATGTAGGTTTTTTTGTGCAGTATTCCCCACTATTATGGTTATCGATTAATCGTTTTAACATTCACAGCCTTATAAGTGATTAATTTGTTTGTCACAATGTGTGTTAAATACTTCAGCAGTTTCGAGGTTATTGATAGTCACGCCTAGGAACCTTATAAGTGAAATAACCCTGTTTTATTTATTTTCTTTAAGAAATAAATTGGTACATGTAGTTAATGTTTTGCTGTTCGCGAAGACCTATCTTTTTATACCCTGAGTGCACACCTATATCTTAATGTCATGTATAAATCATGCTGGCAGTCTCTCCATCTGTCTCTGGTACTTAATACAGTCATAGCCATTTTGTATTTCTCCACCGATAGACGTCTTTCCCATTACGTGATATGGGAAGGCCTTTCCTCTTGTTTTGTTGTTGCTCATTAGTGATAATGAATATGGAGTGTGGTCTTTGTTGTCACATGACGTATACATTTTGCATCATGTGACCACTACTGTACACGTTATCTAAAATGCTTCTCTGAGTTCTATATCAGGAGTTTTTCAAGGACTTCTGGCTGAACATACAAATTCTTCACTTGTGAAATCCCTCCTTCCTGAGTTATGACATTGACTAGGTGTTCTCATATTCTTGGTTTAGGAACTGGTCAGAATGTTAGTACTGTGTATGGTACACAATGAACGAAAACAACAGAAGTAGTAGTGTATCGTACTTATGTCGACAGATATAAGTATTATGTAACACTAATCAGTAGTGCAATGCTTGGCAGCAAAAAATCGAGAAGACTGAATCGAAGAAAACAGGGCTGTAAGTAGACAGTTATTGTAATAACAACAAGAATGACGGAACGATGAAGTTTGTAAGAAACAGCTAATGGAAGATGTGCAAATGAAGTATTATATGTATGGTTTTCATAATTTGCAAAAATACTCTGTAATTTTGAACTGAGAAAACGGTTTACCCCACTTGAGTGTACGTCCACTACAATGTGAGGGAGTTCAGAAAGGATAAGGAAGTACGCAAGATAAGGACAAGAGAAGGCAAGAGAATCCGTAATGAACAACAGTGTCACCTTAAAATTGCAACTTTATCTTTGACTGTCTTAATTAGTAGCTTCGCTTGCTTCTGGTAGCTATTTTACTAGTGTTGTATTTGCAGTTGACTGCGTTTGTAATTGTCCCATTTACAGCTAGAAAAAAAAGCAATTGATCTAAACAACAGTGATATTTTCTGTATTAATTTTCGTAAAGAAATAAAAGTAATGGGTTAATGTGATAATTAGAAATATTTTAATGATTGTACAAACTGTAGATCCCATAAATAACACAACTTAAGCCACGAAGAACGATATGTAGTGACTCACTTTTATCACGAGAACACGATTGGTTTGATGAAAACAATTATTATTATTATAACCAATTGTACCTGTGCTTGTCTAATGTACTCTTTGTTTAACTGTGCTAATGACAGCTATATTATGCTTCCATTATTATTCTTACACTTTGATTGTGACCTCGCACGAATTCGGTTACGCTCTATAACCAAGATTGTATCCTGGTACGATCTCGGTATTCTCTCGATACCATGAGATCGCCAGCAAATATATCTCGACCTGGTCCATTAACTGCCTTCTGATATTTGGCTTCCGGGGATTTTTTGGAGTAATTTGGCACGTGTTTCTCTGTAGCGGTCTTCATAGTCAATTGGGACTCCACGCCCCGCTACATATATGCACAGAAACGAACGTATTGTATTTGGAATTCAAAATCAAGTACAAAGGAATCATTAGTTCATACAAACACCAAATGTGCCACAGCTTAAATGGAGTATAAGCTCGTATAATCAATTGTACGTCTTCTACTTATATTCGTTCTATGTGTGTCCGACAGTGTTTTGGATACAGACTCTCTATTATCTAGAATGTACTCATTAGCATCAAAATTAACGACAAAAATTAAAATAGACTCATCTAGCTACTGAAATTGTATTTGATCAGCATGTCAGTTGTATATACTTAAGATATTAATATCTAAAATTCGCATCATGGATTTCCCGGCATTCTTCACCACAATCATCACGGCTAGTCGGAGACCGTTTGCACGATAATACATAACTTCTGAAGACTTCAAACACTTCGTATTCGAACGAAGAATTCTTCCTTTTAATAGTTTTGATGGAGTGTCTTTCGTCACAGAATGGTTAGCATTTCTTTATTGCAGTAGAAATGTGTTTACTCCCCTCTCCAGTTCGTTAAATGTTGAAGCAGCAATAGAATCAATAGCAATTTTCAATGTCCTGACAAAA